TTAATATCTCTGTTCTCCGGTTGTTTTTGCGTGAACGTTATAGGCCTATCATATACCCAAGTCAATGCATTATTCTTTCCCTTTTAGGCCTATATTAGAGTTTAAAATATTTCATTAAAAATTTGTTCTACTTTCAATATTAAATCAAAAAACGAATAAACGAAAGATACCCTGATTATTTATACATTATGGTTTTATGTTTACGCGGCGCGATGCAATGCAACGCGAAAAAAAGATAGTATAAGTCACTATAATCTGTAATTATGTCCCCACTGGATGCAACAAATGCCTAATTTATAATGGGTTTTAATGTTTTTGTCTCGTCGCTCCGGCCGGGACAAGGCATCACAGTATGGTAAGGGGCGTAACATTTCCGTCACACGCTTGAGGTATTCGGCCAATCACAACGCACTGGATAGCTGGCCAATCAGCGTACACCTCGCTTTTCAGACCGATGAGCTTTGTAAAAATCTATGCATTTCAGAAAGGCGGAGCATAGAGGAGAAACAATAATGTACAGTATGTGGAAAATAATGTGTTTTTTTAACCTTAAACCGCATAAACACATTTCATTACACGAAATACACAAAATAATGTTTTCTTTAGCAACATCATATGACCCCTTTAAAAACACGAATTAAATAAACATCTTTAAATATGTCTATTAATTTGTCCATTTAAAAAGTGATTTCTGTATATACATTTTTATGTTTAAAATTATTAAATCAATAAATTGATTCTTCATTTTATTTTTAAGTGGCACTCTCGGTCCTCCATATGTAAAGTTTGAATCACATTTTGAATGCACTTACTTAAATTAACTCCACGATATAAACCGAGATGTCAAAAATGTTACACAGCCATACCTAGTCTCCCCCATATCAGTTTAGTTGGGTAATTCATGAGCATTTTTAATGGGACTGTAATCATGAAGCACCTCTGAGTTTGAAATGTGTGTCTTACCTTGAAATGACGGATCATTATAACAGTCAAACCAATGAAGCATAGTTTTGTTGTTTTGATGATTGAATCTTGTATTGAAACAATGATTGTGTAAAAGAAAACATACAACTTTTTTATCAGTTTGGAGTTGGAAATTTGTGAAAACAGTGCAAATTATGCAAAAGTGTCTAAAGATCCATCTAACACAGGTTTATGAGCAGAACTAGACTCAAATCAACTCAAATACTCACTAAAACTGCAGTCCTCAAAGTCTCACATTAATGTCAAAACCAAGTATTTCCAAAGTTTTCAATCATCTCAAAACTGAAACAAGCTTAAAGCTGAATTAAACCAGCACTGAGATATTTATTTTACTTTAATAACAAGTTCAATGTGTAAATGAGAAACTGTCTCTGTTCTTCAGGTGTGTTTGCTGCTCCAGATGCAATGAAGTCAGTGTCAGTGACGGAGGGAGATTCTGTCACTTTAGAATCTGGTCTTACTGAAATACAGAAAGAAGATCGAATTTTGTGGAAATTTGGACGTGCAGAGCCTCTTACATTAATAGCTCATATTAATAAAGAGGATGAAATCTTCAACACAGCTCATGGTGATGGTGTGGGATTCAGAAACAGACTGAAGCTGGATCCTCAGACTGGATCTCTGACCATCATGAACATCAGAAACACAGACTCTGGACTCTATCAAATAACCATAAAAGCCTCAAAAGAGACCACACACAGATTCAGTGTTACTGTCTATGGTGAGTAGTAAAGCTCAGGCTCGTTTGCTCTCTTTTAGGCCAGTGATGTAACTATTATCATATGAATTCCAGTTCAAAAACACTTGACGGGCTTCTGTCACTGCCACAGCTTACAAGAACAAATGCAAATACATGAAAACATAACACTAATTTGTTTTAAAATCTGATGTTCTTAAGGCTTCTTTTCACAAACTATTACAAGTTCAGCGTGTTTGTCTGCCCTTAATTAATACTATCCCTAAAGTAGCTTCACCAAATACTTAATTTTATTCATTTATAATATAAAGTTAAGCTAAAAAAAAAGAAAGAAATATAAAATAAATAAAATGGCAACCACCCCATAGCAATGTGGGAGTACGTTTTGTACAGACACTACTCACATCTCCTTCAAAAGATGTAAAAATATATTTTGATATTGTTGGAGTCATGAGCCATAAAGAAATGATAAATGAGTCCCTTTTAATATTTCAGCAAGTTTTAAAATACAGTGTTTAATATAATATATAATGTACTTTTTTCCATGGATGAGGTATATCACTTACAAATACAAAGCATCTTATAAGATGAGTGTAAAACACTAAAATGAGGTCATTCCTTAATTTATTTAAGTTTTTTGAATAGGGTCAACAACAAATATTGTTGGATCCACAGGCATGAAATCAATCTACCATTAATAACTACACTGATGTCTAACTCCAGAAAAATGCAAAAATAAACTGACCCTAGAAAGGCACTTTAAAAAAAAAACGATGTGGTGTAACTTATTCCCTACATATTCTTAATGACATAACATTGTTATTACAGCTCGTCTGCCTGTTCCTGTTATCAGCAGAGACCCTTTACAAGATCCTTCATCATCATCTTCATCACAGCAGAATTGTTCATTGGTGTGTTCAGTGGTGAATGTGGGTCATGTGACTCTCTCCTGGTACAAAGGAAACAGTTTATTGTCCAGCATCAATGTGTCTGAACAAAACAGAAGCCTTTCTTTACATCTGGAGTGTCTGAATGATTCCTACAGCTGTGTGGTGAACAATTCCATCAGCAAGCAGACTCGACCTCTCAACACTGAACTTTGTCACACATGTCCAGGTATGAAAGTCAAAATTTCACGCCATCTTTTGACAGCAAAATCCTTATCTTAATGGGCACACATAATTATACCACAAATATGGTATAAATCAGGCATAGCCCCCTCTGCTTCAACACACCTTCCTGCTCTTTTCAATCATTCCTCAACACCTTGGTTCAGGTGTTTTTGAGGTTTGAACTAAACTCTCCATCATTGTAGCCCTCCTCTAGCAGGATTGGTTACCTCTTGTATAAATGCATTTACAACAAATAAAAATAGTAGATATTATATTATGAACTTAATGTTTCAAATATGAAATTATTAACAAAAACAAAATGACTGAATTTATTAAACAAATTTGATACCACAAAACCATTACATATGAAATTTCTTCATGTGAAAAATTAACCAAATCTGCATTAGAGGCTCATTTTAGTACAGCTTTTATGTGCCACTGCATCTTCACACAGAATATCGAGCAGATGTGGAGATGCTCGGGCTTAACTCAGCTGTGTTGATGTTTATAGTGTTTGTTATACATCACACACATTTACTCACTAATGACTCTCTTTAGCTGTTACAGTGCCAGTCCCACAGTCACGCAGCTTTGCCACACAGATTTGGATAACTGGACAGCTAAATAAAATGTACAGTGTGCTAACGAAATAGACTAAAAGGGTAATGTGGGTGCAGATGCGAGATACATACATGTTTCTGCAATAAGCACCTGATATTTGCCATAGAGAATCTATGCCTACACAGACGTCAGCCCTATATCCATGATTTACACAGGCTGTGCAGGTCATTTGTCAATCTTTCAATGTCAAGGACACAATCAAGTAACTTATTAAAAACATTAAAGCATTGCAATGTAATTGTACAGTCATCCATTTTTGGCAAGTACAAAGTAAAGTCAGGCTGCAGTTTCCTTTTGTGTGAAATCTGTTCTGTTTCCTATTCCATCCGAGGTAAACTGCTTCCTAAATAAGAACAAATTTTGTACATGGAAAGGTGTACATACAAATGTATAAATCCTTTATAATACATACTTCAATAATCCATAAAAAATAGAAAAAGTCCATTTTGATTTGAGAGATGACCTACATATATTAGTGCCAAAGGATCACTGCACTTTTGCTTCTGTTGTGTGATGAAAGCACAATGAGCACGTGCTGCTTATGTGTCCAGGGTAAAATAAGCATACATGAACCGGCTCTGTCCAGTTGTGTTGCTGGGGTGTTTTTCAGCCACATTATCTGATTTGCAGTATTTGGCTTCCTATAACCCTCACCCCTGCTTTCACAGACAAGGCTTTGTCCTAGACTGAAATGTAAGTCTGAGCTGTTTCAGCTGAAAGAAACTTGCATGGATTGATTTTAAAACGTTTTTGCTTCAAGATGCACACCAGTAATGTTTTTTTTTTTTCTAAGGCATGTCTATGAAAATTACTTAAATGTCCTAACTGAAATATGGCCTAATTCTGTTTTATAGTTTGTCTGTGAAACCAGGGTTTAATCTTCAAGAGGTACTGAAGGGACCAATTAGATTTAAGATGAGACAAATGCCCCTGTGACCCCACCCACAGATCCACCTGTATTGTGCTGACAGTGCCAGCTAATTAAAATAACACTTTAGAAAATATGAATCCCTGGCTACTTTTGAGTCTGTGCTGCTGTTCTTCATTACATTTACAAAACTGGTCTATTGCAGAAAATCAACACAATTATTTGAGACCTTTAATCTGTCTCTGTTCATCAGGTGTGTTTGCTGATTTATATGCAGTGAAGTCAGTGTCAGTGCTGGAGGGAGATTCAGTCACTCTAGTCTAGTATCTGGTCTAATGCAGAGTTCACACTGCACGATTTTTAAATTTGTCGGGTCACCGTGGTTTTCACACTGCGTGACTGTCTGGAGTAGCATTCAGTTGCTGCAGTGTTCACATTGCACGATGGATCGGCGACAGGGGGTTTCACACTGCATGACTTCACAATAAGAAGAATCGCAGGCTCCACAAACTATAGAGGTCCACAAATTACGTTTCACAACAACAAACGCGAGAAGTGATAAGGAAATAATGCGAGA